GGTTATGTTAAAGGAATATTTAGTTGTCACACAAATATTGTACTAGTTTTCAACTTTTGGGTCTGCATTCCTTATTCTCGGTTGTTTCGTGACTTTTGTTTAAACGTTTCATTTCGTCATTCTGATTGGCCAGTGCCCGTCACTGTAAATGGTCGTTCGCTTTACGCTTGGAGTCCAATGGTGCTATTTTTAAGGACACGGTTGCTTATGCGCTGTTGCATATGATTTTTTCCTTCAGTTGTTTGGCTCAAGCGTACGTTAGTAGCTTCCCTTCATTTTTCCTTCAAACTATATAAGCAACTGTGATTTCATGTATATTCGTCTTTGGACTTCTTCTTGCGGTCGTGGGGTGAAGGCGTCAGCGGCGACACAACACCCGCAATGTGATGGCGGTAGTTTCGGAGACGTTGGTCAACACCACGCTCAGGGAGTTATCATTAGAGCCCATTTTTGTTGAACTGCTAAGTCGAGTGATCGTTGGTAATGGATTTATGCCAAGTGATGCTAGTGTAGTGTTTAGGTGTTGCAGCGGTCAAACAAAATCACATGGCGCGACACTTTCTGCATCTTGTTTGCAACCTGTGGTAATCTACTGAGTCTCAGCAACATTATTATCACAACCAGAAATATATTGGATTTGATAGTTGTGTGCAGTAAGTAAAAGTGCCCATCGTATCACTCGGTGTGCGTTTAGTTGTTCTTTGCCTCTTCCCTGACAGAGAAGCGAGATCAACGGTTCAAGATCAGTCTGTATATCAAACCGATTGCCCCACATATACACATGAAAACGCCTGACCCCGAAAACCACTGCCAATGCCTCTTTGTCCAGTTGTGCGTGATCCTTATCAGCAGTCTGTGAAATGCAGGAATGGAAAGCAGAAAGACGAATGGTTCCGTCGTGAATCTTACGTCATAGGAATGTTCCCACCACAAACGGTGAGGCAGCGCACTGTAAGGTGATGGGATTGTTGAGATCGTAATGTACTAACACTGGTGAAAAAGCAAGAGGAACTTTGTTTTCTGAAATCTTTGTTTCTCTCTTTCTCCTCAGGACCATTTAAAGTATTCCTATAACAAGTCTTGAAGTAGTGCTATAACTGAAAATGCTTGGGTAGGTAACGACGATACTGCGATAACATTCCGACGAACGAACGTAGCTATGCTTTGTTACGTGAAAACCTTGCAGAAATACCGGGCTGCAATTTATCTTTCCGTACATGCAAAGCATGTTTCTCAAACCGAAAACCAAGCCAGTCAAAGGAATCAACCATAAAAGTAGATTTGGAGCGTTTCAAACGTAAATCGCCTTCAGATAGTTTACGTAACACCTGGTCCAACGTGCGCAGGTGCTCCTCCTCTGTGCGACCCGTAAGTTGTAGAGATCATCGAGGTAGGCAGAAACGTTCGGTTGAATATTCAACCGTTCTGGGTGCATAAAACACTTTTTTGATTTCACTTGACTTGGCTTGACCATATATCGCACGAAGTTGTCAATAATTCTTCGGAAGTTAGCCGTGGCTGAATGAATCTCTAATGGAAGTCTGGTGCATTCAAATGGGCCCAAATTTGTACTGACCGTAGTAAGGTGGCGAGAGGCTTCACCTAATTCCACCTGGAAATAAGCATGGCTCAAATCCACTTTGCTAAACTTGATCCCGCCAAATAAGGTGGGGTACAAATCCTCACTCTTAGGTAGTGGATAAAGGCCTATGATTGCACCTCAATTTAAGTTAGTTTGTCATCGTCACAAATCCGTATGCTGACGTCGGGTTTAAGCGGAGGAACTACCGGTGCTGCCCGTTCAGTTTGCTGGACTAGTAAATTATATCTTCTCGCTGAAGCTTTTTTAAAACTTCGTTCACTTTGGACCGTAAGAAAGAAATCAGTGCTCTGGCATCAAAGAACATGGGTGTACTAGAGTCCACCATATGAATCTTTGCATTAAAATTGTTTACTTTCCCTAACTGGTATTCGCTGAACACGTACGGATATCGTTTAAGAACCAAATGCACGATGTCCTCCTCCACTGCAAGGATAGTATTTGACACTTGTGGCAAATTTTTCATCTAGTCACGACCAAGTAGATTGACTACAGCATAAGGCACATCATGAAGTAATGGATTGTGTGATTTACCCTGGTTTTTAACTCGTACCTGACACATTCCAAGTAGGTCAATCACCTCTACCATATAGCTTTTGAAAACTGCTCGAGATTATTCAATGAGGAGAGCGCCTTCCTGATATTTAATGTCACAACGGAACCGGTGTCCAATTCAAATAAAACAGATTAGCCATTAAACTAAAGCGTGACCTTAGACATAGGTATTCGTCATAATGGAGCAATTTGTAATTATATGGTTCACATAATTTAACTGGGAACTTGTAGTGGCCTAGAGATTCCCCCGTATGACTGTATAAATTATTCCAAAATATACACAAATTGTAGTTTTATTGTATTAGGGAGGTACGTGGTTTACTTGTTTGCATTTACTCCTGTTTGTTTGGGTCACAAAAGTATTATGCAGGCATCCGGTTTGCGACAAATAGGGCGCGACCTGCTGACAGGGGCTCTTCCTCACACTTGACGCATGTACTTATTCTCCCTAGTTAGCTCACCTCTGGTGCTTTATTTTCATCTTTATCCACTTTAGCGATCGTCCAGTAAAGCTTTTTTAGCTTATTTTGGTGTGTTCTCCCCTGCCCGCTCGGTTGATCGCTTAAGCACGAATCAGATATATAGCGCACGATCTACGCTCTATACACTCACCGTTGTTCTGGGTCAACGATTTAATTAAAGTTTATGACCGTGGGGAACGGCATACAGGTGCCAAGTGGCCAAATTCTCCGCAATTTTTGCACTTGGTGTGAATGTGAGTGCAATGGGTGGGAGAAGTGTGTGGATCACCGTGTCGGTAGCAGACGAGGTTGCGTAAGCTGCTTGCTCAGGAAAAACGTGGAGCCAGCTTGTTTACATAATGAGAAGGGTTGAATATGGATCGCTGAATTTTCTGCTTTTCTTTCTGAGGTACGAGGTTGCAAGCTAATGACAATGAAAAGTTTCTCTTGTGATAGTAAATGTTATCACGCGCTGTCATCTATAACTCCGGCGATAAGAAACTGCATTTTCATGACTTCGAGACGCGCTGAGGGAACTGAATTGTATCGGTATTCTGGTGTCTTTTGGTGAATGTGCGCAATGAAGTCATTTGCGCTTCCCCGAGTTGCTGCTGTAATTTAAAGAACTGATAACGAGCAGAAAATACACTGTTGTATTCCTCATAGCTCCTCAAATTACTAGACCAGATGAACGGTACTTGTTTCAGTTATTCTGTTCATTACGTCGAAATAGCGTTGTCCTTCTGAGCCAGGTGCTTGACGAAATACCATTGTGCAGTACCGGACAACTCGACAGAAGTGTCTAACACGGGGAAAAGAGTTATATGTTGTTGGAAAGATGTGTAGCTCTGCATCTATTATTGTAAGGTGGGCTTTTCTGAAACATAGGGCCACAGAAATGACAGCCCGCCAGTGGATTCGTAATACCCTTCACCGTCCTGATATGTACTGCTCAAGCATTCAAATTTGGTAGTTGGGCACATAGTCCCGAACTCGGAGTGAGAAGGTGCAACCGTTGACACACGCGGAATTGCATTCTGACACATGAATCGAAACGGAAGGCCTAAACGGTAAAACGGGATTATCAGAACAAGAATAAAAAGCCAGTTCTTATTGGTCAAGGTGGCAAGGCTGTGCAATCAGATCGCTTGAATGTGTATGTGGTTGGGTAATGTCAACACGTGTGACCGTAACGGGGTGTGCGTAGACAAGATTTATGAGAGCTATGATAGGAATTGGTTAGCAAACCCCAAAGAGGCCAACTTTGTTAAAAGTTCCGCATGGGGTACATGGTTGAATACTTTTTCTATATCTAAGAAAGGAATACCCACGGACTGTCCGGAGTCAGCGGACTTGGTTAGCTAGTCCAGAAATTTAAATTAACAAGTTTAACATGAACGACCACAGAGAAAAAGGTGTCGCGATTTATCGATCAAATTTTGTGAATTTAGAAACTGCATGTTTTTTTTTGATTATTGTTTCCATAGTTCAAGTCACCAACGAAGTTTGGTTAATGGGGTGGTATTTTGTTAGCTGATGACGTGATCCCTATAATGGTGGCCTGCTTCCATCTAACTAGGTATAAACCTGACTTAATTGACAAGGTGAATATGTTTAAGAGGAACAGTGAGCTATCGGCCCCCTACAAGTTCAAGCAACACTGGTGGTATGCTGTCAGGTGGAGAGTAAAAAGAATGCTTCAGGGCTCTTGTTTGCCTGCTAACGCTATTCTGGTCGAACTCAACTGAATCTATTCTCTCAACGACTGCGTCTATATTGACGACGTGGAGAAATGTTTATTAAATAACTCTCATAGCTCGCCTGAATCGATAATGAGACTGCGGTCTGCTGAGAAATTCGGTTGATGATGTTGTGCTTCGTAGCTGACTTTCATTATGCGATGCAGCATGTATTTGCAGTTGGGAGCTGCTAGCACTTGCATATCTTGTGACACAAGCTTTCTTTCATGTTGGGTTGCAAATCCTGAAGGATTGTATTGGTTTATATGATCGTACTTATATCATTTACTTTCTTAAACCTAGAGCGCAGGTATTTTAGACACGTCCCAACAGCTTTAGGAATGGGAGTTGGAGAACAAGGCAATGGTTGCACTTTATATTGCTGTGGTGTAAGCAGATCGGTGCAATTGATAAGATGCTGATAGACATCATCAGCAACAAAATCTGGACGGTCAGTAAAGGAAAAGCCATCCCAGTAAATACATATAATAGTCAGACGGAAACTATTCTAGTCCAATGTGTGATGTGGTCGATGTTGGTAAGTATAATGAAGAATGGTTGCTGTAATTTGGCCAACTTCGGTTAATTGGATAACCTTCCAAGGAACATTGCTGAGTCTGTGTTTTTAGACTGAATGAGGCGGGCCTTAAATACAAGTCAAGGGTGTTCCTGTCACTAGTAGGAGAGCATATTTGCTGTATACATTCATGATAAATTAAGGAAGAAAAAGGTTGTGTATAAAGCGGGTGCTGTTTGTTTCTGCCATGAAACATTATGTTGAGGTCACCACGTGTAGTTGTTTGAAAGAACGGCATTTAAGATGCCTACTCAACTAATTCGATTATTTGGTCTAAGTTGGCTTTGGTAGCGACATGCGGCAAGCAAATTAAACAAATAAGAAAATGACAAGAGTTACTCTTACCCTGTACCCAGACGGAGTCCTCGAAACTGCAGAACGATGGGACTGCCACTCTACTCGCCTTTAAAGCATCATTAACGCATAATATGCAGCCACCACGTCGACCATTAAAACGACCAATGGCGAAAGTCATGAAGTATACGTATACGTAAGGTCAAAATGCACGAGCAAGTTAAAAGGTCATTCTGATAAAGGGACTGCTGTAATCTGATCAATCTCTAACTGGATGAGTACATTAAGGGGTCACAAGGAGAATGATGAACCAATAGGGAAGCAGAGAATTGGACGCTTCGTGTGTGTGTGTGTGTGTGTGTGTGTGTGCCTGGGGTTGTGTGCACCTGTCTGTTTAGACTAGGTCAATAATGCTGGCAGAATACACAACATCACCTCTCCGACTAATCGTTTGATACGTCAAATCCATATCGATTCGGTCGTCTTTGTTCTCGGCTCGTCCTGCGGAGCTGCGTGCTTTGCGTGGTTTCGTCCGTGAAGGTTGGTGGCATATGCTCCGTTCGTCTGATACTTGTGAATAATCTCCGGGCGTTGACTGTGCGGCCATCCTCCAACTGGTAAGTGCCTGGCCCACATGCACGCGTTATTCTTATCGGATCTGATAACGTGGGATGTTCTTTTGATGCAGCGTTTACCTTCACACGCACGAATGTTCCGGGCTGGAGCGGAGTAGTATGCTGCCGGTAAGTGGTCTGATATCGATGGCGACGATCTAACTCGTCGGAATTATTAATTGTAGGAATAGAAAGTGCAGCACTCAACTTTGTTCGAAGGGCACACCCAAGCATGAGTTCAGCTGACGTTTTGGCTGTGGCTCGGTGGCGTGCGGTTCGGTAAGAAAATAGTGCTTGTAGAACTGCATCCTCCCAACCTGCACCAGATAAGCGAATAGTTTGGATACTCTCTTTCAAGGATCGATTGAACCGCTCTACCATGCCGTTCGCCGCTGGATTATACGGCGTTGTACATGAGTGCCGGATAGTCTGAAGTTGAAGGAACGAAAGAAACTCGTGGCTTGTAAACTGCGGCCCTTTATCCGTCACTATCTCCTCTGGTAATGCGTAGCAGGAAACATGTATTTCAGCCATCGAATAATGCTGGCAGTAGTCACCTCTCCACACAAATGGACTTCCGGCCACTTACTGTAAAAGGTCGCCACCAAACAGTTCCTTTGATGCTGAGGCGCTGAGCTAAATGGACCCATGATGTCAACAGCTAACTTGGCCCACTGTCGCATAGGATAGTCAATGGGTTGTAAAGGGGATGAGACCGGCCTTGAACTCTTGTCTGCCCATTGACATGAAGAGTAGTCATGAACAAGTTTTTCTATTTCGTGTGTCATTTTGGGCCACCAGAAGTATGCTTCAAGCATGCGTTTCGTACGAACGATACCAGGGTGGCTCTCGTGAGCGCATAGCATGATCTTTTGTATCAAACTCCGAGGAGCCACAAATTTTTCGCCACGCATTAAACATCCATCAATAAATGAAAGTTCGTGACGCAACACGTAGTGCGGGCGAACCTCGCCTGTGATCTTGTTATTTTGTGGCCAACCGTTTAGCAGAAACCCCTGAACGTGGCAGAGTGTCTCATCTTCCTGAGTCGCCTTCTGGAGTTCTTCTTTTGTCAGGGCTGAGATTGGTTCATTACTCAGGGAAGACGCCATTAACCTCTCATTATCGTACTCATTATTTTCAGTTTTGTTGAGAGGCAGTCGAGAGAGCTCATCCGCTACCTGATTTTCGCGTCCGGGACGGAATTTAATTTGAAAATCGTATGTTAACAATCGTGCATACCAGCGATGTATCCGAAGTGGTCTGATGCCTTTTGTTCCCCGAGTAACTAAACTAGTTAGCGCTGCGTAGTCTGTACGAAGAGTAAAGTGTCTTCCGAACAAGAACAAATTCCACTTCTCACAGGCCCAAACGCAGGCAAGGGCTTCTTTTTCCCCGGCAGAGTAAGAAAGCTCCGTTGTCGACAATTTTCTGGAAGCGTATGCAATAACTTTTTCTTGCCCATTTTGAATTTGAGATAGTATAGCACCCAACCAAATGTTTGATGCATCAGTAGAGACAATCGTTGGGCAGGTCTCGTCGAAAACCGCCATAACTGGTGTGGAAGCAATGCGGCGTTTCATCTCGTCAAATGCCTTTTGTTGGGGTGGAACCCAAACAAATACACTTTTCTCCTTTGTCAGTTCACGCAGTGGCTCAGCAATATTCGTGAAATCCTGCAGATAACGTAGGTTGTAAGAACACATACCTAGAAAATGCTTTATTTCAGTGGAGTTCTGTGGGCAAGGAGCCTCGGTGATGGCACGTGCGTTTTCAAAACTCGGCTTTATACCGTCATTTGTTATAATGTGGCCCAGGAACTCGATCTCACTAGCATTAAATTTGCACTTCTCGAGGTTTAATCTAAGGTTAAGATGGTGTAGTCGACGTAACACAGCGTGCAGTCGTGAATCATGTTCTTCTGGAGTCCTACCGAATACACAGATGTCGTCCATGTATACAATTTGACCAGGTAAATTGGCAAATGAGTGAAACATAAACTTTTGCCAAGCTGCTGGAGCTGGACTCAAGCCCATTGGCAAGACTTTGTACTGAAAGAGTCCGTCCATAGTGAGAAATGCGGTCAGCGGTCTTGACTCCTCAATTAGAGGCATGTGAAAGAAAGCCTTCCTAAGGTCCAATTTTGAAAAGTGTCGGGCGCCAGCTAGTTTAACTATTAGTTCATCCGCGGTTGGAAGCACAAACTTTTCTACCCCGATTTGCCGATTTAGGGCCTGCAGGTCATTGCATATTCTTACTGCGCCGTCCTTCTTGAGGATTGTAATCAAAGGGTGGACCCATTCAGAACAGTTAATGGGTTCAATGAGATCATCTGCAATCATCTGCCGTAATGCTGACGAAACAGCCTCTCTTCTGGCCAAAGGAATTGGACGTGGATGAGCAATAGCTACCGGTTTAGCATCCTGCTTCAGACATATGCGGTGAACGGAGGACGGAGCGCGCCCTATTGTTTGTTCAAATAACTTCGGGTACTGTATCTGTAGGTCTGATAGGTTAATTGCCGTGATACGCATACGAGCTAGGGACGGCGTGACTCCCAGTGAAACCATAGCGTTGCGTCCGAGTAAGGGACGGTTATTTCCGCTGGTAACGTACACAGCAACTGATGATTTCACGGCCCCAAATTGCAACACAATCACCACAGATCCTCGTATTTCTACTGGGGCCTTTGTATAACTGTCAAATCGATAGGCTGAAGGATGTATAGGCATGTCATGTAGGTGAATGTCCTAAAAGCTACTCGGTACTATAGTGATAGGAGAAGCTGTATCAAGTTCCATGTCAACATGTGTTGTTCTATCGTTTGCAATAACTGTAACAGTACGAACGTCAGGCATATGTAGCTTAGGCTCTGGACAATTGGAACGATAGTTAGACACAGTACTTGTGTTATCAATGGAAAATACATTTTCAGAGGACTGTAACTGTTGATTGGAAACGGAATCTGTAGGATTCAACTGAGAAATGCGTGCTGAACGACAACAACGAGCAAAATGTCCACGCTTACCGCACTTGTTACAATCCATTTCTAAGGCAGGGCACTTGGTAAAATTGGCTATATGCTGTAGGCTGCCGCAGCAGAAGCATTTCTGTGGGGACTGGAATTCGGTTGGCGAGCGATGGATCTTGGCAACCTCCTGTATGTCTGCGTGGGTGGCGAAACATCGCAACTGTTCGGCCGTACATGTTTTGAGGCGAGCTAATTCCGCAGCCTTATCCCAAGTCAATTTGGAAGCGTCTTCGGAAAGTAGGCATTCTCGAATTCGGTTGTTGGTGATATCACTAATCAACTGCTGCACTAGAATTACGCCCTCGATTCTATTTTTCGGTATGGTTGGATACTCGCAGGGTCGTGCACCGCGAATGAGGCGATCAACGAAACCCTCTAGAGTTTCCGATGGTTTCTGTGTAAGTCGGCCGAATTTGAGGCGAGCCATGAAGAGATTTGTACGCTGTCCCCATGACTTGTCCAGCACCTCTAGCGCTTTCGTTAAGGTATCTTGTGACTGCAGCTCCAAAGCATCAAATTGACGTTGTCCCTCATCACCGAGTAGGTGTCTGAGTAGCTTCACTTTCTGGCCTTCAGTGTAGTTGGCAGCCGCAGGTAGTAGGTCAAGATAGTTTGTAAACGAGGTTTTCCACTGGACCCATGCAATTTCGGTAGGACGTAAGGTCGGATCAGACCAGTAAACTGTAGGAGGATGTAATTCCATAGCGTAGGTTCCTAAGGCGCGACACCAGTGTTGTATACGTAAGGTCAAAATGCACGAGCAAGTTAAAAGGTCATTCTGATAAATGGACTGCTGTAATCTGATCAATGTCTAACTGGGTGAGTACATTAAGTTGTCACAAGGAGAATGATGAACCAATAGGGAAGCAGAGAATTGGACGCTTTGTGTGTGTGTGTGTGTGTGTCTGGGGTTGTGTGCACCTGTCTGTTTAGACTAGGTCAATAATGCTGACAGAATACACAACACCCTGTGCCCAGACGGAGTCCTCTAAACTGCAGAACGATGGGGCTGCCACTCTACTCGCCTTTAGAGCATCATTAACGCATACAATGCAGCTACCACGTCGACCATTAAAACGACCAATGGCGAAAGTCATGAAGTCAGGAACAAGTAGATCTGTGCACTACGAACCAAAACATGTTTCTGTTACAAGTACAAGGTGCGGGTAAGAGAAGGGTAATAAGGATCGCCGTTGATGCATGTTGTTTGCCAGTGATATAGCGATCGTTAAAAGAATGTTAACTACATCACCTTGGGGAAGAAGGATTGCTGCATCTGATACCAGCCTTCTCGGACTG